GGCCTCCAGGGAGAGGGAAGTGAAAGTGTGAGGAAGGAGAGGAGCCAGAGTGTTGAGGGGTGTGTGCGTGCTGTGGGCCCTGAAAATCACAGTTAGGACCTCACTGGCATTCATTTAGGAGAAGACTCACTTTTCCACCGTGGATCCTCTTTGGCCCTGGAATCCATTTCTCCTTAGATGTGCTCCAGGAAGGTCACGGGAGCACTCTCTCGGCGAGGCTACTTTCTTTTCAGGTGGGTTTCTGAGGGATTCCCCCCCCAAAAAACAACAACAACAACAACAACAACAACACACACACACACACACACACACACACACACACACACACACACAGCCCCAGAACCAGGCAGCCAGCACGGCTCCGAGACGAGAGCCCAGCAATTGGTTCCTCTGGCTTTTCTCGCTTCTGATTGCAGTCTTGAGTAGCCTGAAGTCAGCTGCAGATGAGAACATCATTCTACTCTGCCCGTGCCAGCCTAAGACGTCGATCATCCAGCAGGAGAGCCAGCCCTCTTGGTTTGGTGTGGATAGGTGATGGCTGAGGCTTGGTGGTGCCTGACCCAGCCTGGGGCATGCGGGTCACTGCTTCACAAAATGAGACCTTTGCTGCCAATTTTCCCTCACTCCTGCTGCCCCTTGCAACTCAAATGCAAATGTCACCCCTGAGGTCCTATCACTGTGGGCTATTTTTTTTTTCTTTTAAAGAAATACCACATTGAAAAGGACACTTGTCTTCTCTCCTGTTAAATTGCGTTCCATGGGTTAGGGAGACCCGGCCATTAATTTTTTTTGTAGACAGCAGAGCAAAGCCTTGTGAAGATTTTGGCTAATTAACTTTTGGAGAAGAGCTGCTCCCATGTACCAAGGAGGTTCCAGCCTCTTTTCTCCTCCCTCATCTTGAAAAAGGCTTTATGTGTTGTTTCCAAGTCTCTGCCATCGCCTGGTCTGTTTAAAAATGACTTCCCTGGAGAGGATGGCAGAGAGGGTGTTGGATGTCACATTTTTGCAGCTTCAGTCTTTAATACAGTTGTTCCAGGCCCCAGGAAGGCTCTTCTGTTTACATAAGGGAGGTATTATCCTCACAAAGATTACATTTAGAAGTACCACCCCTCCCCACCCCAGCATGCCTGTTCCTAATAACATTGCATGTTACGAAAGTGGAAAGTATTTAGGATGAAATTAATTTTCACTCAGTGCACCACTTTGTTTGACTTTTTTGTTCTATTCCGCATCGGGCATGGGCTTGGCCAACCTCACTTTTCATTTTCTTTTCTTTTAAAAAAATAATGTATTTTTATTGATTTCAGAGGAGAAGGAATGGGGAGAGAGAGACAGAAACACCAGTGATGTGAGGGGATAATTGACCAGCCGCCTCCTGCACGCCCCCCACAGGGGATCGAACCCGCCACCCGGGCATGTGCCCTTGACCGGAATGGAATCCAGGATCTTGCGGTCCGTAGGCCGACGCTCTATCCACTGAGCCGAACCAGCTAGGGCCTTACTTTTCATTTTCAGCAAGTTCCCTTTCTTGTTCCTCTCTTTTGGATTGAAGGTGTTGAAAGTGAAAAGTCTAACTTGAGAGCCTAGGACAGATTTCTTTTGTCTTGGCTTCCAGGAGTTTGTTTTGAAAATGGAGACCCTCTTCTTTCCAGTCGATGAGTTTTAGCATACAGTTTTATTTCTTCTTCTTTTTTTAATGGGTTATCTTTTTGCAGACTTTCTGGGGTTGGAATAGTTAGTATCTCTTTTGGCAGTCTGTCCAAAGCTGGTGGGAAAACAGATCACTGCTTCTCACATCGGACACCTCCCTGTCACGTGCTCTTCCTTGTCAGTTCTCACCAGTGTGACGTGACTGGTGCTGTGTTGTGGGGGGGGGGGGGGTGCGGGAGCACCGGGGTGCCCTCACCACACGGTGCCACCTGGCCTGGCTGCGCTGCCGCGGATTCTCTGTTATACGGAGGGACATTGTTTTAGCAGCAGGAGGACACCTTTATGCGGGTGGGACACCCAGGCAAAACTCTGTAGGAAATGTTCCTTTATTTTTGATCAATCTCATGATCCTTGTTACCAGCCTTGATTACATCAGTATATGTGTCGTTACGTTTTATAGCATTTAATGGGCTCTCATCCCCTCCCCAGTTCAGTTGCAGCTGTGTAACTATTATAATTTGATTACAGTTTGGTTTTCAACTGCTAGGACACTTTCTGAGCACGTTTTGTCTTCCTGGTGGGTGAAGATGTTCAGAGGTGAAAAAGGAATAAAGAGCTCTTTTTTATTTTTATTTTTTTTAAGGGGGCATATCTGTAAGTAATTTCCAAACAATGCCTCAGAAGCTGCAAGGACTGTATCCTCCCAGAATGAGAAGTTTGCTTTAAACTCTTTGGTTAGCTCTGATTCACTGACTTAAAAAAGTGTGGAAAATTTCATTTAAAATTTGCTTTCTTTATTCCTCTAAATATTTTGGTTAAGAGATATATTATTTTTAACTTGGTGACATTCCCTCCCTGATGTTGGCTTTTCAAAGCTACATAGAATCAAAACAAAGGGACATTCATAATGTTGCTTCGAAATGAGCTACTTGATTCTCCCTTTGGCCCTGCGTTCCCAGGCTCTTCCCTTCCGGTCTCCTCCGCTCTGTGAAGAGGCTCAAGTTCACCTGCCAAGGACCACCTTATGACATGTGTATTAACCTCCAACATGTGCCTACCTTTCATTTCTTAGGTATTTGATCTCATTGGCTATTTTTGGGATTTACATTTCAAAAATTTTACTCTTTATTAATTTGAAAGGCAAAATGAATGTTATCGCTATAACATTAAACATTTCATGGAATTATTTTCAATTACAGTTGACCTTCAATATTATTTTATATGAGTTGTAGGTATGTGCCTTATGTTTGATCAGTTTTTATCAACGTTATATATATATTTATATATATATATATTTTTTTTAAAAATATATTTTATTGATTTTTTTTACAGAGAGGAAGGGAGAGAGATAGAGAGCTAGAAACGTCGATGAGAGAGAAACATCGACCAGCTGCCTCTTGCACACCCCCTACCGGGGATGTGCCCGCAACCAATGTACATGCCCTTGATCGGAATCGAACCAGGGACCCTTCAGTCCCCAAGCCGACGCTCTATCCATTGAGCCAAACCGGTCTCGGCCGATGTTATACTTTTGGCCTTTGAAAAGGATACTATCTTAAAATTAGTAGCATCACCACATGTCCAAGGATACCAAAGATTTAGGAATATATAATTTACTTAATTAAGTGGTGCTTAATCAGATCACCACTCCAGAAAGCCAGAAAGGTCTTTCTAGGTTTTGAATTATTTTGTGTTCAAAATCAACTATTATTATTATTATTATTCTTTTATTTATCATCAGAAAGCTATTTTTCTTTTTTTTAAAGCTCTATTGAGCTTTATTTATTTCTGTTATCCTCACCTGCGGATATATACATGTATATATATATATATATACACACACACAGATATATATATACACACACACACATATACACATATATATGTATATATATGTATATATATATATATATCCACACACACATACTTTAAAATATTTTTATTGATTTCAGAGAGGAAGGGAGCGTGAAATAGAAACATCAATGATGAGAGAGAATCATTGATCAGCTGCATCCTGCATGCACCCCACTGGGGATTGAGCCTGCCACCTGGGCATATGCCCTGACCAGGAATCAAACCATGACCTCCTGGTTTATTGGTCGGCACTCAACTACTGAGCCACACTGGCCAGGCCTGGGGATATTTTTTCCATTGATTTTTTGAGAGAGTGGAAGAAAGCGAGGCAAGAGGGCTGGGAGAAGAGAAAGAGAGGGAGAGAGAGAGATGTGAGAGACACATTGATCACCTGCATCCCAGATATGGACCCTTGACCAGGAATCAAGCCTGCCACCCTTTGGTACCCAGGCCGATGCTCTATCCACTGAACCCAACAGTCAGGGGGAAAAGTTATTTTTCTGTAAGTGTGTGGTTTAAAAAGCCTGGGACATGCCCTCTTCACCTCCTTCCCTTTATCATAGCTCTCCTTTCATGGATTGTCTCCTCTGTCTAAGTTTTATTTAGTTTTTTTTTTTTTCCTATTGTAATGGAAATCTGTGCTTCTATGCTGGAGGGTAGGGTTTATTCTAGACTTTTGCTGGCAGTCCCTGAGAAGGAAGTGTGTCTGCTGGGGGATGTTAACGAATGGCTCTAGAATGGTGAATCTTGCCCAAGGTTGTTTCGGAGCCACCGTTTGAAACGGAACCTTCTGCTTCCTAGAACAGGGACTTGTCCTTCTCAGTTAGACAAATGGCCAGGTATTTATTTCTCCAGCAAAATTGGTTCTTTGGGGGAACAATACAAGAATTGACCGATCTGGCCGCTATCTAAGGGCGAATCTTGTCCAAATCCGAGGAACAAAAGAGAGGAACGTTCTATGGGCTTGGGAGGGGCTGCTGGAATGGAAGAGTCCATTGGCAAAACGAAAGTTGGAGGTAGTGTGGCATTTCCGTGCCTGACTGCCGGCCTCCCATTGGCCGAGCGGTGGCTGCACTGGAGGCGTCACTCCAGCTGAGCGGTGCAGCGCATCACTTCCTGCGAGGCCACGGCGGCGGCGTGCGGTGCAGCTCGGAGCAGTTGGGCCACCTGGGCGGCTGCGTCTGGGACGGCTGGGTCCTGGGACAGTTCTCACGTCTAGACTCCAAACACCGTTTTAAATGAGGTCTCTGCTTATGAATCCTCACCGTTCATTTTCGGGGGCCCTAGGTTCTTTGCTAACGAGGTTTCTAAGGTTCCTGGTGGGTTCCTTACAGAACGCAGAGCTGGTGGAGGCCCGACACCGAGCTGGGCTTTGCCCGCGGGCCAGGCCTTGGTCCTCATCAGCCTGCAGGACCACAGGCTCTTCCCCGCGAGGCAGGCGGGCGGGCGGGCGGGTGGCATTCCTCCGGCCTCAGCCCCCCTCTCTGTCCCTCCAGGCTCGGGGACCAGTTCTACAAGGAGGCCATCGAGCACTGCCGCAGCTACAACTCGCGGCTGTGCGCCGAGCGCAGCGTGCGGCTGCCCTTCCTGGACTCGCAGACGGGCGTAGCGCAGAACAACTGCTACATCTGGATGGAGAAGAGGCACCGCGGCCCGGGTGAGCGGGGTTCGGAGGGAGGAGGGCCGGGGCTGGCCCGAGAACCCTGCCACCAGGCGGGGGTGGGGCAGGCTGCACAGCGCGCAGGGCTTCTTCCCAGAAACTCGCTTTATCGTTCTCGACCGAAGTTCGATTCCAGGTCAGGGCACTTGTCCAGGCTGCGGTTCTATCACCGGACTGGATGTACGGGAGGCAACGGATCAATGTTTCTCTTTCGCATTGATGCTCCTCTCTAAAGCGAATGCAGTGAGTCTTTTTTTTTTTAATGTATAATTTATTGATTTTTTTAGAGTGGAAGAGAGATATGCAGAGAGTTAGAAATATCGATGAGAGAGAAGCATCGATCAGCTGCCTCCTGCACACCCCCCACTGGGGATGTGCCCGCAACCAAGGTACATGCCCTTGACCGGAATCGAACCTGGGACCCTTCAGTCCGCAGGCCGACGCTCTATCCACTGAGCCAAACCGGTTTCGGCTCGAATGAAGTGACTCTTAAAAAAAAAAACACCAAAAAAACAAAGGACTGCGTGGGGATTAGAGAGGTAATGAAAACTTTCTGTTGTATAGTTTCAAAATGCAAAAGCCGAGAGAATAATAAAATGAATCGCCATGTATTTATCACTCAGAGTCAACAATGACCGGCCTATGGCCAGTCTTGTTTCGTTTACACGCTCCTCCCTCTTCCCTCCTTGACCTCAGGTTATTTTGAATCTGGTCAAATCTGGTTTTTGTTGTGGTTGTGGTTGTCAGTAAACGTTTCTGTGTGTATGTCTAAATGGTAATGACTTGCCCCAGCTGGTTTGGCTGAGTGGATAGAACATGAGCCCCCGGACTGAAGGGTCACGGGTTTACGCATCAGCCTGGGGACTGAAGGGTCTTGGGTTTGATTCATGTAAATCGGCTTAATTCCCCTCTCCCCCTCCTCCTCGCCCTCCATCAATGTTTCTGTCTCTCCTCTTCCCCACCATTCTCTCTAAAAATCAATGAAAAAATATCCTCAGGTGAAGATTAGCAAAAACAAACAAACAAAAAAATGATAAGGCCATAACCCCCCTCACCCTAATAAACCGGGAATAGCTATCAAAGCTCCAAGGCGCCCTGGCTCAGTGGTTAGAGTGTGCTCAGGCACACCTCAGGGTTAAAGAACGTGGGGGTCAACCAACCAATGCATCTTTCTCACACTGATGTTTCTCTTTCTCTCTCCCCTTTTCTCCCTCCCTTCTACTTGCTCTAAAAAAGCAATGGAAAAAATATCCCCGGGTGGGGGGGGGGAGGAGGGGGGATTAACAAAACAAACATACAAAAAAGACAGAGGAGGCAGGGAGGGCTATAAGGGGTCAATGGGAGAAAAAAAAGTGGACACATGTAGTACTTTAAATAATAAAGATTAAAAAAATAAAACACACACAAAAAACACTCAAAGTCAACAGTAAGACTTTGTTGTTAATTCTTGTCGAGAATATATTTTTTCTTTTTCCCCTCATTATTTTGAAAGAGAGAAAGGGAGTGGAGAGAGAAACATCGTTTTGTTGTTCTACTTATTTATGAATTCATTGGATATTTCCTGTGTGTGCCCCGAGTGGGGGGGGGGGGAGAGGAGGAGATGATCAAACCCATAACCTTGCCATATTCTAACATGCATCAATAATTCATTATTTTTTTTTACGCTGAGAAGTATTCCATTGTATGGCTGGAATACATTTTGTTTACCTATTCACCTTCTGAGGGACATTTGGATTTGTTTCTAGTTTTTGGCTATTATAAAGTTGCTTATGAGCATTTGTGTATGTCTTTGTATGGACATGTACTTTTATTTCTTCTGGGTAAAGTACCGAGGAGTGTAATGGCTAGATTGTAAAGAAGGTGTATGTTTAACATTTTACAAAACTGCTAAGCTTGTTTTCCAACTGGGTGTATCATTTTATATTCATGCAAATAGACTTGAGTTCCAGTTCTTCCATATTCTCACCAACACTTGGTATGGTTAGATTTTTAGTTTTAACCATTCTAACAGTTATATTGTTGTGTCTCAATGTGGTTTTACTTTGAATTCCCTAATGAACAATGATATGGGAACATCTTTACATGTGCTTATTTACTATCCGTATATGTTCTTTGGAAAATGTTCACCTCTTGTCCATTTTAAAATTAGATTGCTTGTTTGGTTGTCATTAAATTTTTATAGTTCTTGGTCATAAAAGAAAAAAATTTTACCCTTCAAGATCGCATGGATGGACCTGGAGAACATTATACTGAGTGAAGTAAGCCAGTCAGAGAAAGACAAGCACCATATGATTTCACTCATATGTGGAATTTAATGAACAAACTGAACTAACGAGAAAAATAGGGACAAACTCATAGAGAGCAGGCAGACAGCTCTGGTGGTGGGGATAGGATGGGATAGGTGTGGGGGGGGGTGAGGGTATTGGAGAATGTGGAAGAATAGGAAGGAATGAGTAGAAGAAAGAAATGAACATGGACAACAATGTGATTTCAAGGTCGGGGGAGTGAGCTGGTTGGAGGAGGTAGAAGTGGGTACAGTGGGGATATAAGACCTTTATTTGACATTATGCTTTGAAAATATTTTCTTTCAGATTATTTCTTATATTTTGATTATCTTAATAGTATCTTTCAAAGAGCAGGTATTTAAGTTGAACTTATCAACTTGTTATATTCTCAATGGTTGTATCTAAGAAATGGTTGCCTTAATCCAGGTCAAGGTTTTTTTTTCCCCCCTGCAGAAGCTTTATAATTGAGGTTTTATATTTAGGTCTATGATCCATTTTGAATTAAATGTTTAATATGGTGCAAGATATGGATTAAAGTTTTTTTAGAGATAGATATCCAATTGTTCCAGTATAATGTGTTGAGTTATGAATTGCTGTTGTACCTCTGTCAAAAATTAGAGGCCACATGTATGTATGTGGGTCTATTTCTGGACTCTTAATTCTGTTTCACTGATTTGTCTATCTTCACACTAATATCTGACTGTCTTGGTTATTGTAGTTTTGTAATTCATCTTGAAATCAGATAGTGTGTTAGCCCTCCAAATTTGTTCTTTTTCCAAGATATTTTTGTTATTTGACGTTTGCACTTCCACATGACATTTTACAATCAGTGTGTCAATTTTCACATGGATATGTGGGATTGTATGGATTCAATAGATCAAGTGGGAGAAATGGACAGTTATCAATGTTGAGTCTTCCAATCCACAAAAATGTCTTTAATTTTTCCTGTCAATCCTTTTTTTTAAATATTTTATTGATTTTCTACAGAGAGGAAGGGAGAGGGATAGAAAGTCAGAAACATCTATGAGAGAGAAACATCAATCAGCTGCCTCCTTCCCGCCCTCTACCGGGGATGTGCCCGCAACCAAGGTACATGCCCTTGACCGGAATTGAACCTGGGACCCTTGAGTCTGCAGGCTGACGCACTATCCACTGAGCAAAACCAGTTTCGGCCTGTCAATCCTTTTTATTTCTCAGTATACAGGTCTTCACATTTCTGTCAGGTTTATCTCTAAGTACTTACAATATTCTTTATATTGTTGTAAATGGATTTAAAAAAATTTTTAAACTTATTATATTTTTTGATGCTAGTATAGAGTACAATTAAGTTTGTAAGTGATTATATATCATGCAACCTTTTAAACTCATATAAGTTCTAGTAGGTTTCTAGAGATTCCACAGCATTTCCACATAGTTGGTTATGTTTTTAGTAAATTAAGAAAACTTTCCAATATAGATAATTTTTATTTTGTCTATTGCACTGGCTGTAATGTCCAGTGGAATATTAAGTAAAAGTGCTGAGAGGAAGCATTCATTGTTTCATTATTAAAAAAATATATATATTTTTATTGATTTCAGAGAGGAAGGGAAGGGAGAGATAGAAATATCAATGGTGAGAAAGAATAATCAATTTGCTGCCTCTCCTGCATGCCCCCTACTGGGGATCAAACCCAAAAGCTGCCCTTGACTGGAATCGAACCCGGGACCCTTCAGTCTGCAGGCTGATGCTCTACCTACTGAGCTAAACCAGCTAGGGTCATTGTTTCGTTTTTTTTCTTTTTTAATATATATTATTGATTTATTACAGAGAGGAAGGGAGAGGGATAGAAAGTCAGAAACATCGATGAGAAAGAAGCATCCATCAGCTGCCTCATGCACATCCCCCCCACCGGGGATGTGCCTGCAACCAAGGTACATGCCCTTGACTGGAATCGAACCTGGGACCTTTCAGTCTGCAGGCTGACACTCTATCCACTGAGCCAAATCCGTTTCGGCTCTTTTTTTTTTTTTTTTTTTTTTTTTTTTTACAGAGAGGAAGAGAGAGGGATAGAGAGTTAGAAACATAATGAGAGAGAATCAATGATCAGCTGCCTCTTGCACACCCCCTACTGGGGATGTGCCAGCAACCAAGGTACATGCCCTTGACTGAAATTGAACCTGGGACCTTTCAGTCTGCAGGCCAACGCCCTATCCACTGAGCCAAATCGGTTTCGGCGATTGTTTCTTTATTAAGCATGCTGTTAAATATTTTTGTAGTTGTTCTTTTTTTTTATTAATATATTTTATTGATTTTTAACAGAGAAAGGGAGAGAGATAGAGAGCTAGAAACGTCGATGAGAGAGAAACATCGAACAGTTGCCTCTTGCACACCCCCTACTGGGGATGTGCCCGCAACCAACGTACATGCCCTTGACTGGAATCGAACCTGGGACCTTTCAGTCCGCAGACCGACGCTCTACCACTGAGCCAAACTGGCTTCGGCTGTAGTTGTTCTTTATCAGACTGAGGGTGGTCCTATTTCTAGTTTGAGTGTTTAAAATCAGGAATGGATGTTGGATTTTGCCAACTGATATTTCTATTGAAATGCTCATGCAGTATTTCTTTTGTGGTTTGTTAATATGATGTTACATTGATTGATTTTTTCCCCCCGGCAAAAAGCTTTATTGTTTCATTTGGTCCAACGCATGGGAGAGGGCTTCTGGGTTAAAAGAA